TTATTATGAATTCTCTGAGAAAGAACATGACCGGCTCCCGATTTTTACATTTTTTATAGTTCCGTCTTTCGCGTTGGTACTGAGACAATATGATCTTTTCGGGTGTAGTTGTGTTGAATGAGGAACCAATTTCCTTGTACGATAGATTAGAGTCGTTAATCTATGCTTCTACGCATCCATTTTTTCATTTCGGTTCTCATAGCCCATGTTTTTGCTGGGTTCCATAAATTAGCATGTTCGAGGTAAGCTTCAATCAAAATGCCGACCTCTTCTGTTCTCCACTTTTTATTTTTTTCAGTCATATTCTGAAAGAGATTGGTAGGTATATATTCAAATGCATAATGAATAAATAAATAGATAGACTAACCATAAACACAAAATGTGCACAAACTGCAAACTGCAAAAAACAAGATACGTGTCGAGACCTATTCGCCCCCAGCCGACTGTGTCCGTAGTCATACAAAAACCCTACCGCCATCGACTGGGACTCCGAAAAAAACAAAAACTGTCGCCGGCAACTCCTGTTTTCAAAATGTTTCCAAAATGTCTCTGAAAAGTAGTAATTTTGTTGATATTGACAAGAAATTCTCTCTTGTTGCTGTTTTGTCTGTTTGATGTAGATCCAATATTATAGACAAATATAGATCTCGGAAACTACAAATTGATATCAAATAGAGATGAAGAGTTGTAGTATTCAAACATGCACTGTTCATATAGAACGAATTGGATATTGTTTTATTATAATTTCAATGGTATATACATGCATGCGATATTTCATAAATATAATATAGGTTCGTACGTTCCAAGAGATGAAAAAATTACGTTTCGTTACGAATTTTGATTTTGATTCTACGACAGCATCCTACGTCCTACCGTTATCCTACTCACGTTTGATATTTTGATTATCAATATTATCATTTATTGAAATGAATATAATCATAAACACATTCTCCTCGGACAACATTCCTAATGAGATTTGCTGATTTTTGCTAGAATTCACAAACCTAATTACAGTGTGTGCAGTTGGAAACCGCAAAAACATCGTATTTTTCGGAGCGATGACCGCTCAGAAAATAAAATAAGTATGGTAGGTTTATAGTGACAAATGAAAATGGCTATATTTATGAGGGATAATCGACTATAGGAAAATTCTGCATCACAAACATCTTATAGGTTATTCGAATTTGGTATTTTCATAATACTATATACTATTCCAAATGTTTCCTCACTTGAACTGGTACAAAAATAGTCGAAATATCAATTATTAATTATTAGTTATGATCCCAAAACTATCAACTTCTGTGATATAAAAATATATATCATACTTTCTCTACATTCAACGTAAAATCCAAGAATGCAATAATATTTCAGGTGCCCCTATAGAAAAAAATAAACTCATTTGTCGCAGCGCTCTTTTGAGACACTCCATATTATGAATAAATCTTAAACCATTGAATAGATTGAATCAATACCCATAGCTTATGCATTCAACAGTTTTTGTAATACGTAAAATAAAGAAGTTACAAGGAGGGCGACCCCTACTATATACATAAGTAACCAGCTTGATATATTTCATTGTAATGTGAGGCAAATCAATAACTATTATTATCAGCAGTAATTTTCTTGTATTAATCTCTTACTTTTTACTAATGTACTATTGTGTGAATTGTGTATTATGCCAAGTTTTTTCTATTGTTTCTTTCTATTGTTTGATTCGGTTTGATTTCTATTGTTAACTTTTGTGCAAATTTTTACTTAGTTCCTGTTCTGTAATTGGAAATCTTTTTTTTCTGTAGAACAGTGTAAATAAATAAATAAATAAATAAATAAATATTACTTATGAGACATTTAATAAATTTGTGTTATCTAGATTGAGTAAATTTGTGATATATTTCCTCGTTTTTTCCATCAAGAATAAATCTAATACGAGTAGTGAAGCTCATATAAAAAATGACATTATGAAAATTATTGCGAATGACTAAGTGACAATGACAAACTATCAATAAACGCCTTGAATGAAGGTAGCAGACAAATTGTTCATACAGATTGTCCAGGAATTACACTCAATAGGTACTATAGTGATTTTAAAAATGGAAAAAATAATCTAGTAATTGATCTGGAACTTTCTCTTCAATCAGAAAAGAATATTAATAAGCTGGGTGATTGATTAGTGTGATAAAGTGCAGTATCTCCTATGTCGTTTGAGATATCAAATTGTCAATTTGAGAGATTTTAGCAATGGATAGTCTTGATGTCTTGAATCATTCACAGTATTAAAGGGTGACAGGACACTGTTCTGAATCAAAGTAATATTTTTGTGAATATAGGAGATAAGAGAAACTGAACTTCATCAAACTAATCAATCACCCTGTACTCCAAATTTATCTGCACGGTCTATCGAAGCCTAAGTATTATACGAGGTATTATACTAGGAACGCACAATGTTCTTTGAACATTATTGGAATTCCCTTTCGTGCGCTTCAAGCGATAAAAAAAAAATTAGAATTTCCGGAAGTAGATAATCGCGTTTCAAGATAATAGGGTGTATACCGTTTTCTTATCGCGCATGCTGATGAGAATTAGTTCTCATTTCATTAATAGAAATACCATCAAATCCAGAGATACTCTAGCGATGTGAATATTTACCCCAAATCTTAGAAAATATTCAGAGATACACCAGACTATCTCGTACCACAAACCACAATAAGAAATCAGTTATTGAAACAGCGGGCGGTTGGAATAGATATTAGTCCGGGCGCATAAACCGAAATTTTAAAAGGATTTTCACACGAGTCGTTACCAATTTTATGGGCTCCACTGTACATACCAACCAACCATCGATCCCTAATGAGGTCCTTTAGCCCATAGTGTTCTGAACATGTATCTATATTGTATGTAGGCACGCAACAGTGAATCGTGCAGGACTATCCCCAGCCGATGCTCCGAAACTTCACAATATTTAATTCGTATATTAATATTCGAAAAATTGCGCTGTCTGGGAATCGAACCCACGACCCCGCAGTCCTGACTCGGGTGCTCGTCCACTGCGCCAATCCTGCCTACACACAATCATATTATAGGTATTGGAACTTTCACTTTCTAACGTGGACTAGGCCTACAGGGGATACCACAATAAAAAAAACGCGCCTGAAACTCTACCTCTCAGGTGGTGGGGAAACGAGTTGGTTTGTCTATTTTTTCAAAATCTGTGATTGAAATACTTAATTGACATTTTTCTTTCAGGCCTATACTGAACCCGGTAACGAATATCTACATAACCAAAACTCCAACTTTAGTGTCTTTGCGATGTGCATATACTAACTTCGATTCTAACAATATACAGTATGGTCAAAAGATTGGAAGTTGGTTGGATATAGGAGAGTTGCAAAATATATTAACGCGCACCTCTTACTAGGCGTTTGCGGAAGTTTAGTTTCATACTTTTTTCGAAAAGTAGTCATAGGATTGAGTTGGGAAAAACCGCTGTCGACTTCGAACGCTCATGAGTTTTAGCACGTTTATGAGTGGGATCGTTGATGAGTTGAAAGTTGATGAAAGGGGTGCGTAGAATAGTTGTGTCGTTGATGAGATTTTTTCGGGGGCATATTGTGATTTGTTTGATGTTTTCTGAAAAACATTTTCGAGATGTTTTGCTAGCGGACCTATAATAAGACCACTAGATTTTGTTTACGAACAAATCACATTTTTTGACATAGTTGACTAGTGACTACTAGTTTTGCGATTCGGAGCAATTTTTCGTGTTATTATGTAATTACTTTTCCATAATTATTTTCACATTATTCGATGTATAAAAAAAACTAGTCATAGCATGGGTCTGAAAATTCCCAATTTGATTGAAATATCCATACTGAGTATATTGGTGGAAAAAAATCTTACATCGACGGTAATAATTTCGAATTAGAGGGTGATGAAAAAAATAGTGGTTTTTGAATATTTTTTCGTGGTTGTCAATTTTTTCAATCGATGAATCACTCTGTATATCATGGAACTCATTGGGATACATCCTTCAAAAATATTTTGAATGTCTGGAATCAACCCGATAATACGAGGTGGCCCAATGAACTTTAGGATAGACCAATTATGCAATCAACAGCATTAATGAAACACCATGTATAATTATTATATTTTACGAATTCAATTGATGTAAGAAGAGCATACTTGGCTATAAATCTCATTTTGTAATTGTTATCAATTTGTAGCATTGATATTCAGATATTCAAAAAAACACATTATTTGAAATGAGAATCACCCTGTAATAAAAATCAGTTTTGGTCGAATACCTATATAGTTCTTGCGCCTAAGGGCATAACTATTACGTGCTCCCGAAAAATTGGAATTCATTTGTCCTATCTTAGAGATATAGGCCGAGAAAAATTAGGTATTCTTCAACTTCAACACCCTGTATCTCGTAAACTAGTCATAGGATTGAGTTGGGACTTGGCATATTCAATCAGTATGTCGAGTACTATCATTTACCAAAAATTGGGGAAATTCGACGGAACGCCATTTTTATATAGAAAAAGTGCGGGGTCCTTTCACATGAACAGTGAGTTTTCCTATTCTGAACTACCTTCACAAATCTATTAACTGTTTGATTCCCATATCATGGAGGGTTTGTTTTTGTTTCCTCAGTTATTGTCTACTTTATTTGAATTTCAACTTTTTTCACTTCCATGGAAATAAGCAGACATTGCATCTATATCCTGAGTCAATACCGGTTTTTCTAGAACTCTGAACTGATTAGCGGCTGATGAAGGGCTTCTATGAGCACGAAACATATTTTTTAAATGATCTTTGATCATTTCAATGAAAGTTGTGGAGATGACTTTGAGTTTTTCATCTATAAACTACACCACTCCACTTCAAGTTACCATGGACTTCTTCCAAAGATTAAAAAAGATACATGGCAACGTTTTTGGTTAACTTTTTTGGTAGTCGTTTTTTTTTGCCGGTGAGTGTATACTTTTCTGTGATTGTAGGAAACTAGAATCGAAGATAGCCGAGCTGGATCGCGCTTTGACCGACGTGCAGACCTCACGTGGTGCGTTGAAGAAGCAGCTCCACAAAGCGATGATTTTTGCAAAGGACATGGTGGCCGAGCAGGAAACTCTGCTGAAGGCCGTCAACCAGCGGCAGCTCGAGACCAAAGCTGTGAAAAAAATCGGCTGCGACATGGCAGCGAAGATGGACTTTCTCAAGAATCAGCTGAAGGTAGGCTATCCCAGCAAACATTTCGATATGGGGCATCAATGGCCTAATGCAATTTTCCCATACCTGTCATCAGCGAACCAGTAAATGGTCTCTGTAGGTTCATTCGGGTTGCGATTTCAGAACTGTTCAAGAATCGTTCTCGAACTGCGTAGAACTAGTGCGCAGTCGTTTCGAATCCTAGGACTGTTTCAGAACGGTAAACAAATTATGAAAACCCGAACGCTGCAGGAGAGAACTAGAGTCCCTGTATATACCTTAGACAAGAGTCCGGACACAACTATACTTCCATCCTTTTCTGTTTTCAAAAAATGCATTGATGATTGAATAAAGGAATAAGACATATATATCGAGCTCTGTCTTTTCAATTCCCCTAGTATCAATGATTGTCAGAAACAATTTTGAGGGTTAGATTATTTGTCAAACCGTTCATAGCCGTGGGTAGATCTGAGAAATAGGGCTATTTTAACTAGAATAACTATTAGATTTTCGAATAATGAACAACAGGGTGTTCAAATTTTGAATCGATAATTTTCGTAATAAATTCCTGAGATGGCAATTGCAAATTTTCGTCATCAGATATTTCTTTCCTTCATTAGATATAAGAAAGATAATTTGAGTGTTCTACGTGGTATCACATATAGCCAAGAAAATATAGTTGTTTTCTGTTGGGATATACAAAAATAGAAGATATATAATTGTTTCAATATAATTTTAATTGTGTCGGTTTCCCACCTCTTTCTGCAGTCTACATTCACCAGTAAATTTTTTAATTCGATCTGAATTAAAAACACCGTGGACTGATGACATAGCATATTGCAATTTCCCCCTAAATTTTCTAGTTTTGATTTCAAACTTTCAATTTCTTTCCGCATCATCTCATTCTCATTTTCTTTCTCTGCGATCGTATCATTCAGTTATTCCCAATACGATGACGACAGAACTCTTTTTTTGAAGAGATTGACGGTACAGCAGACTCTTTCAATTTGAAATCCATCAGCTTGAAAGGATCTCTATCAAAATGGGCCTAAAATTCTTTTTTTTGTACTGTTTTTACAAGTGAATTCGAATATTTACCTCACATATTGCGGATTTCTTGAAATTAATTTTCCATTCTGGACGTTTCATTGCATTCTCCCATGACATTATCTTTAAAGGATCATTCGGAAAATTGAATAACTCGAATCCCTTTTCTAATGAATTATCGCAATAATGTACGCAGCAGGACATTGAAATAATTCAAAATGCAAAATTTTGGCGGTCATAAAATTTCAAAGTGACAGTGACAGTGACAGAAATTCGAAATAATTAAAATAAGTGGGCGAGGCGACTATGGTGTTTCGTCACATTGTCAGGTGGGCAAACCAAATGAAACAAAATATTAAAAACCCCAACGGCTGTCAGTTTTGTGTTCGGACTCTTGTCCAAAGTATATACAGGGACTCTAGAAAGAACCTCTGAGAACATAACCTCTATTCAGAATTTGCGAAAAAAACAATAGTTTGGAACCTGATCTTTATTCTAATAATATTCTGAAGCTTCAAACTCTCCTTTGAGTCTATTCACAATCTCTGGAAGCCCTCTGTGAAGGAATTGTGAATATATTCCATCATAGCATTCGTAGCTAGATTTCCAATATGTTTTGTCCCTTGTACCATCTTGTACCAACATGAATTTCGACACAAACCTGAAATGTTCAATGAGTCGTGTATCTGAATATAATGGCAAAGTATCCCCAACATAATCCTCCATCATTCGCAGATTATCTAACAATATTTTCAGCAACTTCAGCAAGGAACTCCTTCACCACTGCTTCCTGAAGATGAAGAACTACTACTATCAGGGGCGTCCGCAGATATAATCTCAGGGAGGGGCAAGTCACAATAAATAATGTACATTATTCAGAACATATAAAAAAAACTGTATACCTTAGGCACTCTCTAGGCTAAAAAGTTTTCCGAGATTTTTCTGGCAAAAAATCTACCACTATGTTTGCAGCAGCCTCTACAATAGTTTTTTCACAAATTCCTGCAATATTCACTGAACAAATTTTGGAAAGCAACTTTGTCGATGTTTACAAAAACCAATATGGCTACTCTTCTTTATCGATTGTCATGATAATCATACTTCATTTTGTGTTATTGTGTTTAGATTTTCATCATCATATTGACAATAATTGATTTTATCATAAGATTCTTTCAATTAAAATCGTCGAGTAGTGCAAAAATGGTATATAAACCTCGGAAGTGAGTTCTTTCTTCCCTCAGTGCATTGTAGCACCCTCTGGCTACAAAACCACCTCTGGAAAAACCATGCACTTTACTCTCTCGATATATAATTTACTATTATTCTACATAAAACATGGAATAAAAAGAAAGAATATTAATTGAGTTGACATCACATATAGGTATTCTGTTTACAGCCAAAATTATAATAAAAAATTGCATGTGATGATAATCAGTATCTTGTTCAAACAAAAATGGCATTTTTATAGTCTTGAGCAAATTCATCAATAACTTCCTCGATAAAATCAACTCTTTATATATATATATCTATAAGATGTCGATGAATACTAATTAAACAAAGTCTCAGAACGTCACCATAATAAGCGCTAATCAGAATAGGAATTGAATAATGCAAATGTATCTTGTTTAGAAAGTATCTGATGAGGAAAGACCAGGCGCTAGGGAAGAGGGCGAGTGCCCCCCCTTGTCTCCCCCTCCGTACGCCCCTGACTACTATCAAATAAATATAATAACTCCATAATATTGAGGAAATTCGCGATAGAAATAACACGTCGCCCTACCTGACGGTAACAACTTGAACATTTCTGAGCGGTTTGTTTTGATGATATGACCAATAAGCATTGACAAAAAACAACTGTGAACCAATCAAAACGAAGTAAACAGGCCGCTTTGACAGCTTGGCGTAAGCTTATTTTCTATCGCGAATAGTGAAAAGAGCAATAAACAGTTGAATAAATAAAAATATATCATTATGACGTTACCTTACAGCAGACAGAATCGAAAACTAAATGAAATGAGCAATGAGCATGCGCCAAAAATAATCCTAGAACGGTTCATGCTCGAGAGCAGGTACTGGTTTCGGATAGTTCTAGGATCGTCCCAGGACGATTCTAGAAAAACCCGAACGCGTAAAGAGTCAGCCCTAGGACAGTTCCACAAAACCCGAACGCGACCGATTCTACTCCTAACAGTTCTAGAACCATAATAGTTCGAACCCGAATGAACCTTGTATATCAGTACACTGAGGCCGGCAGCTGGTCCCAGTGCTGGGTACCCAGCAATCATATTCAGTTCCCCGTCAAAGGGCCAGTACAACATAATCGACACATTGAGTTTCCCATAGCGAGCCCAGCACATACATGAATGATGGGACTGTAATGGCCAATTATCGGCATTGGTTACATAAATAACACCGAAAATACTCGAGGGGTGTTTTCTTGTGATATTCTAACAAATAAAGTTCATAAAAACATGTTTCCTAACTTGCTCCGTTTTTGAGATAGAGGATGTTGAAGTTGGAAGTATTTATTTGTTTTTATTTATAACCCCCCTGTAGAAGCTTTCATGGTGCAAAAATGCAGTATTGATGGAGACTGAGAAAGCTCCTAAATTCCAAAATGATTCCAATTGGGGTTATTGAGTAATCTCAATGGAAGAAAAGCCCTTCATCAAAATTTTGAGTCAAATCGAATTTTCATTGTTTCCTCAAAAACTAAGCTAGATACAAAAATCACACAGGGGATAAAAAAGTTGTTATTTCAATAGTTCATATCGATAAATTTACCCACTGTGACGGCACTGGGAATATTATTTCGAATCTGATTCTAATAACAAAACCACAACGTTTTATTGAAATTTTTTTCTGTTCTGGTTCTCACGGAGAGGGATATCCTGTAATGTTCAGAGAACATCGTGAGAACCAAGGGAAATAAGGTAGGAATTGGTGTTCTTCCTAAATTTCTGGAGGTTATATGCCTCGAGGAACATCCCCCTTGGCAATGTGTTCCAGAGCCTCGCTGTTCGTTGGATGAACGAGTCTTTGGAAAGAGATGTTCTGCAGGTCTATAGAGGGGTGCGAAGCCTCAACTCGACGGGTTAATCTTGCGAGGACTGCCAAGGGAGGTACAATTGATGAAAAGACAATTGTAAAATGAATAGAAATATTTCCTAAAATATCACAAGGCACCCTTGAATTTTTTCGGTGTTATTTAGATACACCCTGTATATCATATGAGCTAAGGTCCATTTCCTCCGTTGATATATAAATGGCTATCAATCATGTTGGGCTCAAGAACCCAGACAGCACTGGATATTCATAGAATATTCTCTAAATATGCTAAAAAGGAGGAGTATATTCTGAATATTCATCGATTATTTCTAGAATATATACATGCCTCTGGAACATCTAAAAGGAATATTCCAAAGTGAATAGTCGGACATGTTCAGGTAATATTCAGGTATGAATCTTCCAGGAATATTCCCAACTGAATATTATCTGTTGTATATTCATGAAATATACCCAAGTGAATATTCTGTGCGGTATATTCATGAAATATTCTCAACTGAATATTCTGTGATATATATTCATGAAATATTCCATGAATATTCCTATGTTTCTCAACACATGAATATCATTTCTTATTTCAGAGATGTGAGTATCGAACATCAATTAGATGTAAGGGGATTTTGAAACAGAAAGTGTTTATGATCCGATTTCGAACAATGATCTCACAAGAACTTGATATGTATAACATTATTCAATTCGATTACTGGCCTAGTGGTCAAGGCGTTGCTCTGATAGTCTTGAGGTCACGAGTTCGATCCCTACTTGGGTCAGGTTAGGTTAGGTTAGGTTAGGTTAGGTTAGGAGACCGAGCTCCTGGAGCAGAAGGTAAATCTTTCTGAGGTATTTAGGTGCGTGAGGGATCTGAACATCGCGATCGGGGACGAAACAAACCCTTGGGAGATAGTCGAAATAGTGACGAGGTTCTCTAAAAACATCGGTAACTATAAGATTAATGGTACAAATCGGCCTTAAGGTATGTATGATTAACATTAACGGCCTTAACAACAAAATGCCGTCACTTGTTAATTTTATATATCGCCGCAAATTGGACATTATACTTTTGTCCGAGACCAAGCTCCGTCATGACCACAATCTAAGAGTAAGAGGCTTTACCACGATCAGGGTCGATCGGCCTAACACAGATAGATGGGGGGGGGTAGCTATTCTCATAAGGAACAATATTCCCCACACCGAGGTCCCACCAAGGCAAACCTCAATCGAACATGCAGGGGTGAGACTTCGGAGTGGGGAAATTATTTTTTCAGTGTACAACAGGCCCAGAAACAATTTCACGGAACAAGACTTAGAGGCGCTGGTTAGTGCTGGCAACAAAGTGATAGTAGGGGGTGATTTTAATGCTAGACATGCTGATTGGGGGAACCGGGTCCAGAACAATCAGAACGGGTACAGAATGAAGGCATACGTGCATGCCGCCAATGTTAACCTGGACTTCCCTAACACTCCCACGCATTACCCCGTCAATGGAATGACACCGACAGTCCTGGACATAATGCTGTCCAAGAACGTGGTGGATATCACTGACCTAGAGGTAGTGGATGAGCTGAGCTCTGACCATCTGCCAGTTCTGTTTGAATTCGGGCAGAAGCCTCCCGAAATAATAAAGAAAATTTTTGATTACAAAAACACGAACTGGCGGATGTTCAGAGCGCAGCTGGACCAAAGAACTATAATTAAGAGTAATATTAAAAAGGAAGAGATAAATCAAGAGATGGAAGCAATCATTAAGAACATCACCTGGGCTAGAGATTCCACCACGAGACAGGTCAGCATAAACTCCAACAAGGACGATCTCCCGGAGGAGATCCTAGAGCTCATCACAGAAAAGAGATTCCTGAGACGCCGCTGGCAACAGCTCAAAACGCTGGAAGCCAGGGGCGCCTTCAGGAGGATCTGCAATCAGATAGAGTGCGAAATTCGAGAGCACAGGAACTCCTGCTGGAGAGCCAAGTTGGAGAGTCTGGACCCTCGCGACAATACTCTCTGGAAAATGACCAAAAGATTGAAAAAACAGTTCACCCCCATCCCAACCCTAGAGTATGGTCGCGAGGAAGCGGTCTCAGATCCGGAGAAGGCGGTAATGCTTGGGAGGCACTTCCAAAGAATATCCAAAATTAATAAAGAGCCAGTGGGGGAGGTCCAGGAGGACATGGTGGCAACAGCCGCACGAATAAGAGCACAGCCCACCATCCCGCTCTCGAGACAAGCCCTGGGGCAGAGTATTACATCCCCAAAAGAAATCTTCGAAATCATTAAATATCTGAACATCAATAAAGCCCCAGGGCTTGATGGTCTGGACATGGTTCTCCTAAAAAACATGTCACGCAAAGCAGTAGTGCAATTACACTACGTCATCAACGCTATCATAAGATGCCAGCACTACCCAGAATGCCTGAAAACTGGGCTTGTTGTACCCATCCCGAAACAGGGCAAAAACCTGAAATCCACAAATGGCTACCGCCCCATATCTCTGCTTAGTGCTGTAGCCAAGATCGTGGATAGAGTCCTCTTACGACTAATATCTCGAGAGATCAATAAACTGGACCTTATACCAAAGGAGCAGTTCGGGTTCCGCAAGGGACACAGCACTGTGTCCCAAGTGGCCCGAATTGTTCATGAGGTTAAGGAGGCCAGCAACAATGATAAAAACACCGTTCTGGTCATGATGGACGTAGAAAAGGCCTTTGACACCGTCTGGCACGAAGGTTTAATGGCCAAGCTGCACAAGGCAAGAGTGCCGATTTTTATCATTAAAATTATCGATGCATATATTACCAACAGGAAAATCCGGGTCAAGGTCAACGAAAGTATATCGGGAGATTTTCCACTCGAGGCAGGTGTTCCGCAGGGATCTTGCCTCTCACCTCTATTATACACACTATATACGCACGATTTCCCTGTATTCGAGCGGACGAGCACCGCACTGTACGCAGATGACACAGCGATCTATGCACACTCGGCCGACTCGGATATTGCCAGACAGCAAATCCAGATTCATCTGGACAGGGGAATCGTGCCATACTTTGACGAGTCAAAGATCTGTATAAACAGCGCAAAAACCGAAGTCATCAACTTCCATCAGAAATTCAAGGAATCGAAGCTGAACAGACCTTTGACCGTCAAAGGTGTCGAGGTGAGGGACACGGTCCCTGTGAAATACCTGGGGGTTAAACTGGACACTCGTATGACATTCAGGCCCAATATCAACTACCTGATTAAAAAAACACAAGCAGCCATAAAGAAGATGTACCCCTTGTTATCCAAGACCTCTGCACTCTCGCAGGAGAACAAGGTCCTGGTGTACAAGCAGGTCATCAGGCCTGTGATGACGTACGCGTGTCCTGTGTTCTGCAGCATCTCACCTACTCTTATGAATAGGCTACAGGTGCTGCAGAACAAAGTACTTCGTATTATCACCAATGGTGATAGATACTCTCGAGTGGCAGACCTCCACGAAAGATGTGGTAATTTGCCAAGAATCAACGAATTCATTCTGGAAATATCAAATGAATTCTATAAATACCACGTCGCTGGAAGTGACCTCACCCGGAACATTACCCCACTACGCCAACACCATAACATACGCAAAAAACACGGGCTGATATATGCATCAACCGATGTGTTTAGAGAACCTGGTGATCTATAGTTGGGATCCCTCCCGGATTCTCGGGAATACCCGAGACGCCGGGGGGTCTAGACAAGACTATCTCTCAAGCAGGAAAATAAAAAAGTGACATGGGCGTGAGAAATCACTACCGATCACTGAACTCGGGCAGATGTGCCTCACGAAAGTGTGGTACAGCTGCCCGAGCAGAACAAGAAGGAGGTTTTTTATGGTTTTGCCGATTTTTTTTACTTTTCCTCCATAAACAAGCTAACCCACCCACATTGATCGCGACTGAACAGCTCCCCCACCCTCTTGGGTACCCTCAGCGAGATTACCTATATAAAGGGCCTAGCCCTAGGAGATAGGTACCTGTGACGAACACCTCGCATACCCACTCACATTCCCTGGCCAACACCAGCCACCTCTGCGCCAAGCGGAGGGATATTCAGGCACACATATAGATGTGCTAACATAAATAGAAATGTGTGTGATAATATGTGTTGTATTGTGAAAGAATTGAAGATGAATAAATAATTTCAATGTGTGTACTTGGGTCACTTTTTTTTATTTTAAATATGTTTATTGGAATATTTCAGGAACATTCAACATAGAATATTCTTTTGGGTATATTCTATGATTATCTGAGGAATTCCCATTCGCATATTTAGAGAATATTCCACAGATATTCCGGAATATTCCAGATTATTTCTAGAATATTCCAATATTCCAAAAGGAATATGATAGGGAGATTCATGGAATATCTGGTGCTGTCTGGGAAACTATTACCTAAAAGTGATAGTTTCGAGAAAAATTATGAATCACCTTGTATGTTTATATTTGTTTACAGGATGTACAAAAAAGTGCCTGGCATGAGTTCACGACAGTGGAGCAGACCATTCAAGAACAGGCGGACACTATTGAAACTTTGCAAGAAGATCACGTGAGACAAGTTGAAAATTTGAAGAAAGTGATCAAAGAACACGAAGAAACTATAGCGATATTGAAGAAGGATCAACAAATGTCACATTATTTGTTATTCAAAGATAAAAAATAAATGAATTCGAAATACTGTCTCTAGTTTCTTTTTTATTATTCAGGCATAGAAACATTTTTGTGTAATTTCCAAGTCAACACATCTGTGACATGACGTCTCTAAGATGTCGAGTTAAAGTAACAGTGCGATATCACAAACGTTCCATCGTTGCGATGTACAAAAGCAATCACCTCTGTGACATGAAATCTCTGAGATGTCGCGATGAGGCAACAATGCGGATATCACGAATGTTGCATCGCTGCAAAATGTACAGAAGCAAACTCATCTGCGAGAATTATTCAAAAATTTGTTATTTGGATTTTTGTTCGATGAAAGAGAATTCCTGTTACACGTTACTCAACAAAGTGCAGCTAAATTCGCAAACATTCGTTACATTGCTATCAAACTATTCTTGGTTTGGTCACGTCCACATCACACAGTGTTGCAATATCTCTTCGAATATACAGGGAATTCAGAAAATATATAAACATTTTGAATGGAATGCTCTGTATATTTCGATAGATATTATTCATTCATTTATTTATTGATTTCAGTTATCGCATTACATTCCATTCTTCATTGATACATTTTATACAAATGATATTATATAAAGTATAATTAATTTCCTAGTCGGAATGAGATGAATGATCAGAACAGTAATTCCCATAGAAGATCATTTATTTATTCGAAATCAGAATGGATTGAGGAATCCAAATCTATATATTTTTCTCTATACCCTGTGTATTTGAAGATATATTGCATCATTGTCAATATAAGTGAAGTCTGTATTAAAAATTGTATAAAATCGGTTTCAATTTTTTTTTATGAATGTGAAACAAAAAAAATAAAAGGGGGTTCACATTAAAATAAGACTAGCCCGTACCTAGGGCTTCGCGAGACCAAGACCAAGACTGATCAGTCTTGGTACTGGTCTCGAAAAATAAATGAAGTCTTGGTCTTGGTATTGGTTTTGATGTTTCAAAACCAAGACGAGACTGGCTCAGTCTTTGTCTTGGTTTTGATAGTCTTGGTCTCAAATCAAAATGCGTCTAGAAATTTGAATTATTATATGCATATAATAGGTATTTCGTATTTCTCAGTCTTCAAAATTGTTATTTTGAGCGTATAAAGTAAGCGAAATGAATTCCTCCTTTTACCATAAGAATATAATTTTTAAGAAACCTCAAATAAACATTGAATGAGCTCCGAACAGCAAACAGGCCAACGCCAGACAGGCCAGAGAAAAGGTTCAGAAGGGTCGGAACTGACAACAACGCATTATCAAATTATTTCAAGAAACTTAAAATCCATACCAAATAACTTTTGTATTAAATTTGTTTCTATCTTCAATAAGAGGAGGTTTGGACCACTGTGACCTTACAAAATATTGAATTTGAAAAATGTATTTCGGATTTTGAGTGAACAACAATTAAAAACCTTCCATATACCATATGACAAATGAATTACTGAAATGAAATGCCATTATATTTGCCAACAGACTTTTCTCGATATTGTGTAGATTTAAGATCAATATGTTCCTTTCGAGACCAGGAACTAGACACTTGGGAGAGAATCTTGGTCTTGGTCTTGGTCTTGGTCTTGGTCTTGGTCTTGGTCTTGGTCTTGGTCTTGGTCTTGGTCTTGGTCTTGGTCTTGGTCTTGGTCTTGGTCTTGGTCTTGGTCTTGGTCTTGGTCTTGGTCTTGGTCTTGGTCTTGGTCTTGGTCTTGGTCTTGGTCTTGGTCTTGGTCTTGGTCTTGGTCTTGGTCTTGGTCTTGGTCTTGGTCTTGGTCTTGGTCTTGGTCTTGGTCTTGGTCTTGGTCTTGGTCTTGGTCTTGGTCTTGGTCTTGGTCTTGGTCTTGGTCTTGGTCTTGGTCTTGGTCTTGGTCTTGGTCTTGGTCTTGGTCTTGGTCTTGGTCTTGGTCTTGGTCTTGGTCTTGGTCTTGGTCTTGGTCTTGGTCTTGGTCTTGGTCTTGGTCTTGGTCTTGGTCTTGGTCTTGGTCTTGGTCTTGGTCTTGGTCTTGGTCTTGGTCTTGGTCTTGGTCTTGGTCTTGGGAAGATTAATTTAGTCCTGGTCTTGGTCTTGGTCTCGCGAAGCCCTAGGTGTACCTACCTATTATCACACCATGTTTGAATTTACTTAATTCCGTTTTACTGCGATGTCGTCTCGCATCATATCGTGAATATATCTCAAAAACACATCGCTTTTCCATCACAAATAACATATCGCAATAACATTGCAAAAAACATATCACTGTTATATCGCAGAGAACTTATTGCTGCGACGTCGCATGGATAAAACTCTAGTGGGACAAAATAACATCCCTCTGACATAGCAGGACGTCTATGGTGCATATGTATAATGCGATATCGCAGGTCACGATTGTTACATCGCTGCGATATCTCTGTGATGTGATTGTGTTTGCTGGGTTTTGATTGGTTTTAGAAAAAACACCAAATTTCTGACTGATTTGAATACGTCACATTTTACATTATCTATTCTGTTGTAGACATTTCGTTTATAGAGTCACTTTTGGATTCCCATGTAACGAAGTAACTAACTTTTTCGATTTCAAACACCCTGTATTTTTCATATTTCTGGAATCTGGAGAGATCGTTTCACATAATCGTTTTCGGGTCGAAATTTCGAAAGCGCTTTGAATAATTAAATTTCTTGAATTGTTTTGAGTTGGTTTGTGACTTCGAAGATTTGTTTCAGTTCTTTTGATAGTCGACAAAAATCATTTGGAGCGTAAAAATCTAATATTACCTATAAAAATATAACAACAGAACTAACGAACAAATCTTACAAGGTTGATAAAATTGATATTAGTGGTGCCATCTCTTAATATCCCACAGAACTTCATTTTATTTCGGGCTCTGAGTCTGATCATAGATTAAATACTTGTTGTTTGAACAGTGATCTACTCATCAATCTACTGTTTAGGTTCAACATGATAAATATAGATGTAGGTTCTAATCTGAAAGTTACTTGAGTTGAAAGGCGATCTGAGATTTATTATTGTATTTTATTCACGACTAATATATTATACTTGTGGTTTTTGAAGTATAATGCCATATATTAATCCCGCAGGGAATAAAGACTATTAATCCCTCGCCATTATTCCCTGCGGGATTAATATATGGCATTATACTTCAAAAACCACAAGTATATATATTAGTCGCAAATAAAGTAGAGTATACTACTCGCAATAATGGCTATTATTCTCTCGGAATGTTACTCCCTCGCCGCTAACGCGGCTCGGTTCGTAAAAAATCCTCGAGAATAATAGCTATCATTATTGACTCGTGGTATAATCTACTATTTGATTTTTGCTTATTTCCGTTGCGCTACCTATTTATTAATATATATATTTACTGGCATTGATTTGGTCACGGCTTTAATTATAATATCGTCACGGACATCTTTGTGTTTTCAATTTTCCCGGGTTTTTCATGTTATGAAATATCGTGGATTGATTTCAATAATTATTTGGGAAATGTACGAAATTCTGAGGAGAGACTGTCCGTGGAACTGAACTAGTTTGGAGCATTATCTAGTATGACTAGTAACTAGTATGTCCTTCAAAATAATGAAATAAAATTATCGATTGTAACAGGCGCAACGTGAAGCAATACGTTGAATTTGAGTGTAGCTTGAAATAGAGTTCATATAAGAGCAGAGTGGCGCAGTGGAAGCGTGCTGGGCCCATAACCCAGAGGTCCGTGGATCGAAACCACGCTCTGCTAACTTTTTTTCATTTTTTTATTTCTTCATTGACGTAGTTATTGTTATCACCGAACATAAACCTCTTTTTATATTCGGTGTTGATACTAAGCGAGTAGATTTCTACACCTCAACGAATTTAACCTAAATTAAAGTGAAAGTAATCCATAATGTAGGTATCGTCCCAGTATTATACAAATAAAAATGTTGACGTCACATAGAATTTCAATTTGATCAAAATAAGAATCAGTTACGATACGCTTTTATTTCAAATGATGACACCATGTAAACTTTTCAAATCACCACCTTCACAATTTATGCATTTCATATCGCCACCTGAGATGAACGCGTTACATATAATACTTTTTCAACGAACTCCTAATTTCTCTTTAGAGATCCCGTAATTCCGAGAATTAAATCAACTTACCTGCTAAGCTAACCTACAAAATGAGTTTATATTGGATGTAGATGTGTCCAATTATGTCCAGTCAATATAGGATGCCTAAATGAATTTTCATTGAAATGACTTATTTACTAACTTTTGTGAATAAGATTTCCCCTGACGTAGTAGATAAAAACTCTCCGATTGGCTGGCATTAATATTGTGTTTTACGATTAATGTCATGCTTAGCATAGAATGAATTGTCGACAAAAATGAGTGCTTCATTTTTACACAGAGTTCTTGGAAATATGCAACTACCTGAAACATTTTCTTCGATTTCACTTTCGTCTACAGTTCGCATACATTTTCAATTTTGATGGAAGCAGAATTTTTTTAAATAATTCTTATAGTCACCGACTGCAAAAAATTCGAAAATGACAGTTGACAGTTCCTACAATTGACAGGCCGGACAGGACTCACAACTGTGTTGCCATGGTACACTTCCGTGGGCTAAATGCCATTTCAGTTATGTGAGTAGAAAAAATACTCAATATTGGGTTACATTATTCGTGAAAAAATCAAGGAATAATTGTCGGAAAGAACGCTCGAAACCGTCGAATTTTGTTTTCAGTCCAGCATCCTTTCAAATTAAATTAATACATACAGAAAAATTCGTGTAGGAGAAGTGACGTCATCGATATTGATAACCACTACTGAATTTACCGGACGCACAGTATACAAACACTATGTGTGATATATTTTTGAAATCAGCTTTCCATGGAAGTTCAAAATATTGAATAATATGCAGATTGTTCCATTTGAAAAAATTGTCGCGGACTTTATGCATGACTCAAACGTTTATCACCCTGTATATTCAATTTTTTCTCATGAAGGTGGTAGATTGAGTCATATTGAGTGTGAAAGG